CATGATAATTTGCATGCAAGAATCAGTTAAACCATGTGAACTGAGGGGTGCATGAGATTGAAAGGCTTGTGACATGAGAAAAAATATTTGCAAATTGAGAGGCAGCACTGAACGAGAATAGCTATATATGTGAACTATTGGAAACTGCTTGTTGGGAAGCTCAATTTGAGATTTTTATCATTTTTATTTTGCAAAACAAATAAAATGCCAACCAAGTAGCAAGTTTAAGTCCTTCTCATTTAAGCAGTTGAAAGCTATGTTCTTGTGGAATTCTTACGATGGGTGTGGTAACAACAAAGTTAGATCTAGAGGGTATCAGGGTATGCAACCCACCAAATAAATATCAAAGTACTATGATTATCCCACTTTATAACATATATTAGCGCTATCTAACACACACTGAACGACTGATGATGACACAATATTTTCATCATAATTTTGGGACAGAAGTCATATATGTAAATGTTTCTTAATGAGCATGCCATCAGAAATGAGGTACCCAAATTAAAAAAGTGCAGAAGATATAAAATAAAATAGACATAAAAGTTTTTAAGTGTTTAACTCTAAAACACCCAGATGCATCAAATCGATGCACCCATTGTATGGCTTCAAGAGAAAAAGTTAAGCTGTTTGATTTACATTTAATTCAGGACACATCTTGTGTATCCATAAATTTTCTTTAGTGTATAGCATTTCTTAATATCCACACTCCCCAAAAAGGTTAAAGTATTTTGAAGTGACATTCATGTCACAGTCCCGTAAACAGTGGCGAAGGATGGACAACTGATTATATGCTGTGTTTTGTGCATGCTCTTTAATATGTGAGCTCAGACAATGTATTGTAGAACCCACATAGCCAAGGTTACACCTTGGACATGTAAATATATATATATGACATAAGAGTGACGCATTATAGGAATCCTGTCTTTATATTTAAAATAATTACTTAAATGAAACACTGCTACCACTGGCAAACAATAAAAATAATCTTTTATACCACACCAAAATCATAAGCAAGCCAATTTTTTTTTTCTGAAATTGTTAATCAGAAGGTTTTAATTAATATTTCTAATAAATTTTAAATTAG